TGTAGTATATATATATATATTATATATGTATATATATATATGTATATATATATATGTATATATATATATATGTATATATATATATATGTATATATAATACATATAAATATTAAACGACAAAATATAATTTTAATACATAGAAAGAAATTTCAGTATATTTAGAAATAAGTATAGTATAAGTAAATTTCAGTATATTTAGAAATAATTTCAGAAAGAAATTTCAGTATATTTAGAAATAAGTATAGTATAAGTAAATTTCAGTATATTTAGAAATAATTTCAGTATATTTAGATATAACTCGAATCAGTTTCAACGCAATAAGTAATAAAAAATATTTAATATAATTATTTTTTAATTATGTTGTCCTTTTGCTTGTAACATTAATTCGCTCTAAAATTTTACACGTGGCACACATCACATGTGATGTCAAAATTTTTTCTATAACGATTTTAAATAAATTTCTTTAAATATTGATATTTATGATTTTTGATATAATATATCTGAATATTTCAAATACAACAATTCTGAATATTTTGAACGTACGCACAAGATGCTGCGTACAGCATATCAAGATTTAATAAAACAAGCCTCAAGCCAATAATAAAAGCAAAAGATGATATAACTGAAAAATAATTTTGCATCAAATACTTGTTACTACTTGATAAATAAAGCGCTAAAACTGAATTTAAGTTATATTTACTCATTCTAAATATACTGAAATTTCTTTGAGTTCTATCAGAATATATTTGTCACCCTGTATATGCATGCGTAATGCGCATATACGTGATGCATATCGCGACACACTTCTGACCGTTTTCGCGATTGCGCCATATGCGTGCTTTCTTCATTTCGCTCTTTTTCCCCAATTTTTTTTATTTATCAACGCACACCGAAACAATAAACGAAAAAGTTGTGTCGATAAATATTCTGCGCAAACTTAACCTGTCTCGATTATTGTAAATGAACATGATCGCGTATGACGCAGAAAATTACGATGATCCTATTCTGATCGATGTACGCGTTGTATTCTCCGATGTAGGTCGACGTGATCTTTCTTAATTTGCGTTGCAGATATCGATCGGTTTACATCTGAATAATTGTGCGGCTCGGAAAATGTATGACAATACGAGCGATATGAGTGATAATAGTTTTTCTTTAGGTGAAATTTTAATACATAATTTTCTGCTTATTCTCGCGGCTCTCATCGATCATAGAACGGATAAGAAATCATATATTTGTTTTTCTTAAAACAACTTTGATTTCGCTTTTACAACGTGAATACTATATACGGGAAACATCACGAGAGAATCGTATAACATTCGTATTATTTATTTGTGTTTATTTTTCCACGATCTTCCGTCTATAGAACAAATTGTGCAAAACGTACATGCAATTTTGTCTTAAATGAATCCGTAAATCGAGGCTTGACCGCGAGATGATTTCAAGCGTGCCGCGCTCAATGGCGGATTCATCGCTTCGCCGATAGGCTCCCCGATAGGATGATGTAATCAAAATGCGATCGCCATGTTTCTCCGTAATGATTCGAACGAAGCGTAAAATTTTTCGTGCGGCTTCGCAGAGTTTGTCAAAAAAATACGGCGATCGTTTATCGAACTGCACGCCAGAGATTTTTATAAATTTTTGGATGACAGGTTGAAAAAAATTTCCGGGCAACGACGTGTCTCGAAAGTTCTGTCCTGGGGCTCCGTGAGGTACTGCTACGCGCTTGGTCAAACTATGGCGCGGCGTTCCGCCATTGGGGAACTACTTCGCATTGAGTAGGCGAACTTGTGAGTGTGCGCATCGCGGTCTGGGGCTAAGCAGAAAAATGAACTCCGCGGTGGTTTATCAGGCGCTATGAGCCATAATACCGATGTTTCGTCGTTATTTGTGAGTGAATAGGAAATCGATCGGATCGGCCGGGATGGAGGGCAGCGCGTCCAGGAATGTTTCCGGGATTGCACCAGGTAATCCGCAGCCGTCGAACGGCCAAATCTGGAGCGGCACGGCCGTGTGTGTTGCCGTACCGTCGCGTCGTGCGTGTCCACCGACCCTAAAGCACCCCACGCTTCTCCTTTCTGTTTTCAGAGCTGTACTTCCTGATCAGCAAGTTTCTCGACGCAGGCATCTGCCCGGAAGCTGCGGCGGTAAGTTCGCGATATCCTGGGCCTCGGTCCGAGCGCCCGTACGAGTCGTATGAGCGCGTCACGCGAGCATTTATCGCGCTTTGTTTCAGGTACTGAAGCGGGAATTGGAGCGTGCCGAGGTAAGCCGTACGGCGGGCCTGTACTGTATACAACGCGAGCCGCGACCACATGGCTCGCACGTGGTTTCTACTTGTCAAAACATTAGAATCTCAAGGTCGCTGACCTTGGCTTTCACGAGGTGGTCGATCGCGATGCAAGATCGGCACCTGTCGATCGTCGCCGATTGAGCCTGCCGATCGATCGGGATCGATTCCCCCCCCTACCCCCCTCCTTTAATCAACCCCTATATAGATTTTAGATCATAGTTCTGTTCGCAGATATTGCCGCCACGACTCGACTGGGAGGGCAACGTGCATAGTCAGACATTCGAGGAGTTGGTGAGTACCGACATGGCGATCGGCACGAGGCGGACGGAATCGTCCGGACTCGCCGCGTGACGCCGAACTCGAGCGTCCTGCGGGGAGACTTCGGGGGCCGTCCCGCCGTTGCGCCGCGTCGCAAGGTGGTTCGATGAAATAATGCGCCGAGTATCCCCCCGTCGATTCGCGGGGGGTGCTCTACCCCCCTTTTCTTCCCATCACTCTCCATCCTAGCGATGCCTCGCGTCATTCGGTCCCTCTCTATTGCACCTACGTCATAACTGTTCGGTCTCTCCACCGCTGCTGGCCGACAGCCAATCACGGCGCACTTCCGGCCATTTCGCGTGAGCTGATCAATGAATATAGACGCCTGCGGCTTATTTATAGAGAGCGATCTCGTGCGCGACGAGTGAGCTACGCCGATTGGTCGACGCGTCGGTCTACGAACACCGATTGGTCAGTCGCGGGAACTACTTGATTGTTTGAATCTTTCGCGGGATAACGTCGACGAAATCCGACAATTCTGATCGACATTTCTTGCTGATAATTAAAAAAGTATTTTTATTTCTGTGCTTTATTGCTTTTTACATATGATTTGTTAATTTTTAATTTTACATTTTTGGCATGAGGAATTTAGAATAACATAAATCGACGCTTAAAAAGATATGGAAAACATAGGTATTGAAACTGAATTCGTACAATTTCTACAAATATTATTTAATTTTGGTATTTTCTTTTTGGATATGACAATACTTTTTAATTGCTTGTCCAATTTCTAAACCTTCAATATTTATGTATTTTTAGCGATTTAATAAAAAATTCTGACGATCCTTTAGGAGAGAAAATATCCTCACATTGGGCCGAATCATTTGTTGGATATATGTGCAAGAATCGGACCAATATTGGAGAAAGACGTGCCACCATGCGTTCGTGGAGCAATATCGCTTCTGGGAGCTGGCAGACAATCTTTGCTGCGTACCCACGAAGGTATGAAAATACAAATGCTTAATATTGGGATTCTTTATACATGTTTATTATTGAGCAATAGATACATGTCGATTTTTATAAAATTCTGTTTCTTTAGATACTATACATCGTGCGCACAGCATTGTCTATTATTCTGGAAGATTCGGTGGAAAACCATTTCTGGAACTACCTGGTAGTTTATCAGTGCCTAACATAGGTAAGAGAAACAGTTATTTGTGCAAAATACATTTACCTTATACACTCGTGAGCGTTTCCTAATACTCTTGCTTTCTATGTAAAATGTCAATATATCTTTTTGCCCAATAGTACGTGTACTTCAGGGACGTGAGAATTCTGGCCCCGCAAGTCGGAGGCAGGTGATACCAACAAAATTCTACAGCAAAATGAAGTTATATCGGCATACATTAGGCCACTTATCTGCAGTATACTGTGTACTATTTGATCGCACTGGTAAATATATTATAACTGGTGCAGACGATTTACTTGTCAAAGTCTGGAGTTCCATCGATGGACGCTTGCTCGCCACTTTTCGAGGCGCATCCGCGGAAATCATGGACATCGCAGTGAATTTTGATAATACTCTATTAGCTGCGGGAAGTTTAGATCGAATAATACGAGTTTGGTGTTTCCAGTCGATGTCGCCTGTAAGTACATTAAAGAAAACAGTGCTTTACATACAATATTATTATGTATGAGAGAATTACATTCTACGTATACTTTTCTCAAGGTGGCAGTTTTAACTGCACATACAGGCATGATTACGTCCATCAATTTTTGTCCAATAGTATGTAATGACGTCTATTACTTAGTCTCCACTAGTACTGATGGATCTGTAGCCTTTTGGTCTCATACAAAGAAACCGAACGAGAGAGCAATATTTCAGTAAGTTTAATTGAATTAATTTTTAAAAAATACAGGATGCGGTTAGTTTCATAAATATTTTGAAATGTTTGACCAATTAGAATAACGAATTTTATCAACTAATCAATCAAAAAATGCTTCGAAACATTTATACCATCAGATTGATTATATCCAAACATACAATTTTTTATAATATTATCGTATGTTTTGTAATGATATTTTTAAACATACACGCGCGCGCGCGCGCACATGTATGTATATGAACATGTTGCCATGTAAACCAATCGTGTTCCAATTGTTTTCTAATTTAATACAGGCCAAAACCCACTCAATATCATGAGAAAATGCGGCCTGGCCAAGCGCAAATGATTTGTGCCTCCTTCAGTCCTGGAGGCGCATTTATGGCAGCTGGTTCCGCAGATCATAATGTAAGGGTATATGCGATGTTAGTGGACGAAGGACCACGTCGTGTCCTTGAGATCGAGGCGCATTCCGACACGGTTGATAGTATTCAATGGGCGCATAGTGGCTTAAAATTCATTTCTGGTTCTAAAGATGGTACTGCGAATGTATGGCATTTCGAGCAACAGCAATGGATGCATAAACAACTGCTCATGACGACAAAGCTCCCTGGGTATATTATTTATTTTCAATGGATCTCTCTCTCTTGATAAAGATCTCATTAGAAAATTTTGATATATTATATAATAATATTATATAATAATTTGATATACAGTTACAGTGTGCTAAAAAATAATTTATCTTTTCTTTGTTTTTATTTATAGAGAACCAGAAACAGATGATGACACGAATAAAAAAGCGAAAGTAACCATGGTTTGTTGGGATGTGAGCGACGAATTTGTTATAACTGCAGTAAACGATTATACATTGAAGGTGTGGAATGCAAAGTCAGGCGAACTAGTAAAAGTTCTACGGGGACACAAAGACGAAGTTTTTGTATTAGAATCACATCCGATAGATCCTCGGATAATACTTAGTGCTGGTCATGACGGACAGCTTATCATTTGGGACGTATTGAATACGGAACCATTGGTGTGTTTTCAAAATTTTGTTGAAGGCCAGGGAAATTGTGCAGTCTTTGATGCAAAGTGGTCACCTGATGGTACAAGACTCGCTGCAACGGATTCTAATGGCCATCTTTTGATGTATGGATTTGGATGTTGTGTTAACAAACTGGAAAGTGTAAGCTTCTATTTATATATTTTATTTCATATCACATTTATCACATATGACATAGCATTTTCTTGTAAATTGTTTCAATTTCCTAAATTATTTTCAGATACCGAAAGAATTATTTTTCCACACAGATTATCGACCTTTAATAAGAGATGGAAATAATTATGTTCTCGATGAGCAAACACAAACAGCACCGCATTTAATGCCTCCACCATTTTTAGTTGATATAGATGGAAATCCATATCCACCGGCGTTACAAAGATTAGTACCAGGAAGAGAAAATTGTAGGGGCGAGCAGTTGGTACCAAATATTGCAGTTGGTGCAAGCGGTAGATATATAGATGATCTATAATTTACACAAATTGTAAATTTTAAAAAGTTCTAATTAAAAGAAATTTACATAAATAGTCATTAATAGTAAGAAAATTTTTTATTTTAAATTAATTTTATTTTAAATTGTTTTATTTTTTTAATGATATTTTATGTATGGGATATATGAGATTTTTGAATAGATATTTATTCTAATAAAAACGCTAAACATTTCTATTAAACAGGTATGCAAGAAGTTATAGAAGGTCTTCCAGAACAACAGCCGCCTAAGATCGGACATTGATAGATTTAATCGAGGCTCTTGCTCAAAGACAAAATTCAATGCAGATGGAGAAGCTATTGGTGTTGGTGAAGATAGAGAAAATAATGCCGCGGAACAATCAATTCGTCAAATAGCAAGTCCCCGTGGTAGCAGAGCTGGTTTGAGGAGAGAAGGAAATGTCGAAGGTGTCCGGCAAGCAGCGGAAATTGGCAAAGGGATAACACTACACCATGAATAGCTATGCTTGTACCTCCTATCGAACCCGGCCGTAAAAGACACTCAGTTTAAAGTGATGTAAGTGTTACATATACAAAATTTTCTAATAATATTGTTACATAAATTACAACAATATCAGAAAAGCAACAAGAAATTATTTTAAATAAATGATCAACGCGTAATACGAATTAACGTTAGTAACACTAAATAGAACACTAATATTAATGCGAAAAACGAGTACATTGATTTTTGAATTTATTTATTATATTTTGTATGTTATCCATAAAGTCAAGCTACGGCTGAAATGGAATTAGACTGCTGGCGGCGGGAAATGCGACGACGACCACAACTTACCTCGAGCACTGCCATTGATCAAGGCAATATAGGAAACAGACTTGTAAACCGTAAGCGTAATAGAATTAGGCACGGTTATAGAACTAGAGCGACGCGTGATGAAGAGGATGAGGAATATCAGGTATCTCGCAGAAATGATATTTAATACTGATAAAAATTGACTTGTGAACAATTCTATTACGTTGTGTCGTAACAATGAATAGAAGGCTCTATGAATTTATGCTGTTAGTCAGTATCATAATAGCTTATGTTTTTACAGAATCTTGATAATGCTGGCACATCAGGGAGTTCAACCAGTAGCAACGGTTCCATCGCTAATTCCATCGAGGAGGATCTTTGCTCAGATAGTAGTTCAGATTCTAGTTCTGAATATTCTGATTGGATCGCGGATCACGGAGTGAATTTAGAGCCACCCAAACGCAGTAAACGGAAACCCGTGAAAAAACGATCTATTACGCCTTCTAGTGAGACAGACAGAAGACGCAGCAAACGTCCTAAAAAAAAGTATAATCAATAATTTTTTTTTTTAATCGGACAGTCTATAATCTTTATTCAATTTTAGGGAATACAAATAGCTAATGGTATTCGTGAAGTTCCTGAAATTTATCGACCTTCAGAATGGCTTACCGAAGTAATACCAAGGAAAGCTCCTTATTATCCGCAGATGGGCGACGAAATAGTATATTTCAGACAAGGTCATAAATTCTATTTAGATGCAATTAGGAATAAAAAGATTTATGAGCTTAGTCCGCGGTGTGAGCCTTGGACCAAGATGACTATTAGAGTATGTTTACTTTATTCTAGGGGTTAAAAGAGGTTTTTAATTATAAGGGATAGAAAATATCTATGCTGAATTTTTTAATGCATTGGAGATTATAGATTATATATAAATGTATACTAATTAGAGCTTATGTTTTCTAGGCACAAGAGTTTGTAAAAGTAGTGGGTATTAAATATGAAATACGACCGCCTCGTTTGTGTTGCTTGAAATTAGCATTGATGGATGAGAACGGTCGGCTCACTCGGCAGAATTTTACTATCAAATACCATGATATGGCCGATGTATTAGATTTCTTAGTATTGCGTCAAACCTTTGATATGGCATTAGCGCGAAGTTGGTCCGAAGGAGATAAGTTTCGTTGTATGATCGACGACGGTTGGTGGATGGGTCAGATTGTCGGAATGGAACCGTTAGATGAAGAATTTCCGGAATCATTCTTCATGTGCTTTCGTGTCAGATGGGATAATGGAGAATATGAACGAATGAGTCCTTGGGATCTCGAACCTGTTGACGAAGATAGTAAGCTTGTTATTTTGATTATTAAAATGTTATATTGTTATATTGATTGAAAGAGCAAATAGAATAACTAAGAGTCTAATATTTTTATATGATTAATATCGAAATTTGATCTCTTGAGTTTTTTTGATTGTATTACATGTGTTCGTTACTTGTTTCCATAGGAATTCCCACGGAAATCGGTGATGCTGTGCCCGTTTTACCGGAGGAGAGACAAGCGATATTGTATCAACCACATGCGGAAGAGTGGCCCATGGGTGATAGAGAAGCAACTTGTCGCCGAATTATACGAGGCTTAGATCAAGTGATGAGTCTTGCAATTGCGGAACCATTTGTGGTACCAGTAGATCTTAGTCTTTATCCAACTTATGCCTACATTGTGGAATATCCAATCGATTTGTCAACTATAAAAGCCCGTTTTGAGAATCACTTCTACAGAAGAATTACGTCGGCACAATTTGATGTTAGATATTTGGCAACGAACGCCGAGCAATTTAATGAACCGCACAGTCACATAGTGAAAAAAGCGAGAATTGTTACTGATTTATGTCTACGCATAATAAAGTAAGATATATATTTTTCACTTTTCAAGGTTACATTTGCCTTGATGGTATCGATTTTCGTCTCTTTATTTATGTTATTTAAATAACATGTTTCTTACGTAGGGAGACTACCGATGTAGATGTCCCAGCAGTATATCATCAATTGAACGATACATACCACTCTTCTGAATCAGAGATAGATGTAGAAAACAGACCCTCAACAAGTAAACAAAAATCCGCATCAAATAGAAATTTACGTTCGCAGGAGAATAGAGACTGGAAAATAGCTTGTCGCCAATTGTTGGAGAGCTTATGGCAATGCGAGGATTCAATACCGTTCAGGTAAGGCAAAAGAAAATTCAATTTTTCGAATTATTTTTTTGTTTTGATATGATCTGCTAAAAAGATATCGGTTGTTTTGCAGAGAACCGGTGGATAGATTAGAACATCCAGATTATCACCAAATAATAGACACTCCGATGGATTTGGGCACCGTCAAGGAAGACTTATTAGGCGGAAATTATGAGACACCAGCGGAATTTGCGAAAGACATGAGATTAATATTTTTAAATAGTAGGAATTATAATACCAACAAACGATCGAAAGTAGGTTGATATATTTGCTTTATTCATAACATCGTAACATTTTTTTTTAAATATTTTGTTTTATTCACGCAGATATATTCGATGACAATAAGATTATCGGCCATGTTTGAGGAACACATGCGTAGGATACTTTTTAATTGGAAATCAGCGCGTCAACATAACAACAACAAAAATACAAAAACAAAAGCAAAAAAAGGGAAGAAAGGAAAGAGAAAGTATCAAAAGAAAAAACACAATTTAAGTAATGGTACAGGTAAGCCCTTATTATTGCTTTATACAAATATAATGCAATAAAATACATAAATGTGTTCCATGTACAGGACCTTCCAAATCAAAATCCGTTCCTAGTGATGATGACGAGGACGACAGCGAAGACGACGATGAGGAGTCTGGTAAAGAGCAGAAAAACAATGATTTTGACATATTTGCACCTGGTACGCGCGTGTACCTTTTTTTCCAAATTATCACTCTATTATGTATATATCACAGAAAGAATATGTTAGATTTTGAGAATATATAATTTAAATAGAAAATTATGAGCATATTTTTAAAAATATTGAAGAATTTTTATTAATTTCATATATTGCAATCTACACAAATCAATTGACAATGATTTCTATATATGTCTTATATGATCCACAATCTTCAAAATGAGTAGCCGAAAAATTGGGATTGTTACTAATATTAATTGTTAACTAATACATATTTAATCTTGATTGCTTGAACCAATTATAATTATTAATCAAAATTTTATTTGTTTTTTAGGACCGTCTCGGATGACGAATGGTCATGCAAAGCGATCTAATTCTGGTCCGTCTCGACCATCACTGAAACTACGCATCTGTCGGTCAACTGTATCAAAGAAACCGAAAGATAGTGATAGTGACGCCAGTGATTCTGATGCAACAATGGATTCTGATAGTAGTGATAGTGCCCCTGTCCGACGAACTAGAGCGAGGACAGCGATACCCAGTGTTAGTGCCGATACTGATTCCGGGGATGATTATACACCTGGCGGTCGTAGCAAACAGGTTCGTAAGAATCGCGGCAGAAATATTAAAAATGGTAAACAATCGAAGTCCAAAGTGAAATTGAACATTATCGCGGATGACGATGACGACGATGATGATGATGACGACGATGATGACGACGATGACGATGATGATGAGTATGTTGCGGAGAGCAAGATAAACGAGGAAAATGAAGAGGATGAAGAAGAATGCCTTGCGCCGGATTCTACAGAGGAAGAGAGTGAAGATGAAAAGATTATCAAAAGGGATACTAGATCACGAAAGTTAGTGACTGAAAACGCGCAAAACCAAAGACATTCTGCTAATAACGGGAAGAACAATAACAGCGATAGTGAAAGCGAAGAAGATGACGATGAGGAAGAACAAAATGAGGAAGAGGATGAAGAAGAAGATGAAGAAGAGCAGCAGCAGCAGCAACAGTTACAACAGAGGAGAGCAGCAGTTAATACTAATAATCAAGACTCAGAAGATAGCGATTATTCGTACAAAGAATTCCAGTCGTTGCGCTCGAGTCGTCGGAAACAGCGCAATTTTGTCAAGTTGGAAGACACGAGGCAGCATAGACGATCCTCGGCTCGGAAGCGTCCCTGTTACAACGAGGAGAGCGAAGACAGTAATGCACAAGACAGTGTAGCACCGATCAGAAATCGACGTAAAATCAAACGTCGCTCATACGCCGAAGATAGCGATGAAAGCATGCCGGAACGCGGCATCAGCATAAGTAGCCGCGGTCGCATACGTAAAATGACGCCACGTGCCCGCGCCTACCTTCTAGAATCGCCCTAGCGACATCTACGTTAGGTCAAAATTATGTGAAAAAAATCTTTGTAAGTATTTTAAAAACTGTGGTATCCTGCCACACATTGAAAACTCGGATCCGTTTCTTGTCTCGAAGGAACTCCCAAGGTGAATGGAGTTTTCAATCGATTGATATTTCGATCTCGACGTTTGTTTCGTCGTTGCATTATTTTCTATATGCGCGTATAATCGCAATACGAATCTCCGATATAGACGATATAGACGCTCCACAGTTTTCGGAGATAATGCGCGTAAATTGAAACGAGATTTGATTCTTTTTTCTGCGCTCAAGCGTAAGGCGTTTACTTGTATAAAAGATTGAGATTGTCGTAGAGTAAATCGTATTGAGCGCTTTTACAAAGTACTTCTATTTTTATGAAAAGTGGCTTATTCTATATGAAAAGTATTCTTTTCTTTTTACATTTATCTATATTATCGATCCGAATGACACATTGGCTTAATGATACCAAACCAAATCAGTATGAACAGATACGTGATATTTTCGATATCTCATAGCTTCCTCTGTTTTCTTTGCCCCCTCAACCAAATTTATTATAATTGACAAATCTGTATAAAGTTCTTCACTAATTCTAAAGAAAATTATATAGAAAATTCTATATAATCGTGTTGTTGTACAGGTATAATGATTATATTGTTAACCGTCTTGAAAGTGTAAGAGACAAAAGCGTATTCTTCGTGAAAAAATATGAACCTACACTTCGTTATATGATTGCTTCCATCAAAGCTTTAGTTGACAAATGAAATTTTCATGCTAAAATAGAAAAGAAAGAAATCATGTTATTTTATAAAATAGTTTTCAATCTTATTAAAGCAGCAAAGGAAGGTTAAACAATATTTATGAAATTTATCAAGTTATTGTTTTAACAGTTCTTCGCATCATCATTGTAATAATATTATTCGTTGAGAGTTTATGGGCTCATATTGAGACTCTTGTTTCTTCACCGCAGTCATCTTAAATCAGAAAATTTGATCTCGATTTGTGTGTACAGAGAAATTAAGTAGATAGAAATTGTAATTGTCACGAGATCCATATTTCGCTGGAAGTATAGAATATGTAAGTTTAAAAAAATTCAAATGTGATCTCTAAATTTTTTATTCTTTCATAGTGTAATTCTCCATAAAACTGTGGTGAAAAATCAAGAGTCTATTTGTAAGTCTTAAAACATGTTTCATTATAAAAACATGAATCAGTATTTATTTTATCTATGAGAAATTTTTTCAAGACAAAGACTAAGTCGTAACGTAATTAATTAATGTGTTAATTTTTACATTGCTCGAGAATAGGGTATGCAGTTAGATACAATGATTATCCTCTTAGATAGCGGATTTATAATTTTAAGTTATTTTAAGTTATATTAAACGACGTAATATGTACGATAGTGATAACGATTTGTTAACATAGCGAGAGAATTGATTTTATTTCCTTTGATGAATCTGTGAACACTATTTAGGAGTATAGAAGGAATCTTTATTATTTTCTTCTCTTCTTTTTTTCTTCCTTCTTCTTCCTCCTTTTCTCTCTATGAGAATCCTGTCACGAGTACCATTCTCGGTTCTCACGGCTTTACTTAATTTACCACAGAATATGTAGAAAGATGATCCGCGTGCGTGTAAATACATCGTGTCCACTCGAGCATCATTCTTATTCTTTTTTTCTTAATATTGACGTTACATAGGATTATGTGTATGGTCTGTAGTTTGCGCGTAAAATAACGATTTTTTACATAGAATTTGTATATCTGTTACAGACTTAATAAGAAAATTGCGATTTTAGAATTTTTCACGAAGGCAGATAGAGACGTTTTCCAGGTTTATATGACGCGAATTTAACAAATGCATTACATATTTGTATAAATGATTATCGCAAGACAGTTGTGCCGCCAGCAGCTGACATCGTTTATCAGGATACATACACAAACATCAGAAGTCTTGACTGTCTCGAGCCATTGTGATATTAGTTTAAGAATATCAAATATATATAATATGTAAATTATCAATAATTAGGATTATAATGGATATTTTTTTAATGACTTATATAAGAGAGTCATATCACATAATAGATTCGATAATGCATCCAGTCTTGGATTAATATTGATTTAACCATGTTAAACTTGGGTCTCGCTCTATCATACAATAATCGATATACTTTACATGATAAATACCCAGGAATAATATAATTTCATGTGTGTGTGTGTGTGTGTGTATATATATATATATATACATATACACACACATACACATCCTCATCAAAGACTATACAGGACTTAACATGAAACAGTTGTGTTATGTACAGTTTGACACTTATTCTGTTGTGAAATCAGCGTGCTCTGTTATATACAATACAGTTCTTTAAAATCTACCACCATTAATAAAGATTAAATTATTTTATATATGTCTACTTATATATGCATTATTTGTGCCATTAATTTTGAAAATTTTATAAAGAAAAAATTTTATGAATCTTTTTTTAATTTTGTTGGAAAATTTTACATATTTTATTCAAATTTATATTTTAATATTGAAATAAAATTCGATTCAAATCATTCTCAAAATTAATGGCTTGCTTATATTAAATCCTTAAATATATAATTGTACTATATTTTATATTTTAAATCATGCTTTCACAGAAAGTTTAGATTGCATATTTATTATCAAAAACTAGAGGATTGATGAGGAATTGACGGGGGATATCATACAAATCTATGAATTTAATGATACAAGATTTTATTTTTATAAGTTATTATAATAAGTTACTTTTATAATAAGGATATTTACAAATATTGAGGAGTAATTTGAAAATTAAAAAAAGACATTTCTTGGCTCTTGCATATTTATAATACACGAAATATTTTATTTTAATATTTCGTTTATTTGTTACATCTTTGTATATAAACTGGTAATATGAATATTATATGAAGAGACACATATGAAATATGTTGTCTAATTTTCGATAATTTTTAATTTTATAAAATGGCAGCCATATTTTTGTGATTATATGAGTAATATTAGGATAAAATGGACAATAGTAATTTTTCCAGTCACGTCTCGGTTCTTGCAACTTTGAACGTTTTCACTATCCGTATACAACTTTGTTATATCTATTTTCTGTCGGTATACATATTTCTATTTAAATATAAAAACAGAATATCTTAATATTGCGTAGCAACATGTACGTCTATGGACATGTTTTTACTAAAAAAAATGCGCGTTTCTTCTACTTTGCGAATGTTTGGAATTCCAATACATTCGTAATATTATCCTAAAAGTATATTTTCTGAAGCCTAAGAATTATTACATACGACTCATTCATAACAAAAATGAAATCTAATAAAAATAATGTATATCCTTCAATAATCGAAGATCTGAAACGTACCGTAAGTGATCGGATCTATCTAGATATTTCAGTTTCAGAATACAAATTTTCTGACTAAAGAGGAAAAGTTTCGCTCATTGTACACCTTCGAGTCAAAAAGCCTAATCCACGCTTGAATCCGTTCATAATCAATACTTGATCGATCTTATCCCACGGAATGCCATAATCTGGTGAGGGGTACTCAGGCGGAAGATGAATACTGTTCTTTAAACCTATGGAATTCAATCTCTTTCTGCAAATATTCCTTGACAAAAGGATGTTCTAAATGGGAATCTTTCAACTGGCTTAAATAACGATTCGCCACTTCTGGTGGTTTACCCATATGTTGGGAGAGAACAATCATATTGATTAATGTGTCTGGATTATTACTATCCTTATCAAGAGCTTCTTGCAAGGCTGTTTCTGCTTCCTCGTATTTTGCCTGTCCGATGAAGCAAGTAGCTTGACCGTTCAATAGCATGCTCGTGCTGGAATGCTTGTCAATCATTTCCTGAAATGATTTATAATCTTATCAATGGAAAAATATCAAATAATTTTAAGTAAAGAAGATTTGAAAATAAAATATATAAATGTTAAATATCTTAAAGATTCAATGGTTTATTTTGTTTCACCTGAAAGATATAATAAGCATCTTGCAACTTATCACCGCCACTGGTAATGTTTATCCATGCCTGAGCGAGTTGAGTCAAAGTATCGTCATCATCTTTTTCCTGCATTGCCTTAAGCTCTTTGCGAGCCAGATCCAGACGATCCATCTTCAGATATATCTGTAACGTTAGCGCCATGCATTCTAGATTGTCAGCGGCGCATATCACTCGATGGGCAGCCTCCAGATTCTTTTCATGATAATAAACAGTCGCGGCCACGATCAGGAGATTGTGATTATCATGATTTATATTTTTGGTCTCTTTATCAAGTTCGGCCACTATCGCCTCCCGACGATGTGGATTAGCAAAATAGTCAGCTAGGGTCTTCAATGGCTGTAACTCCGGTGGAGACGAATTATTGATCTCATCCAGTACCACGCGGAACTTCCTCTGCGCTATATAGGCACGATAAAGGAAGACATCACGTTCCATAGCGACTTCTGGGAAGGATGTCTGTAAAGAGATGGAAATTAAATTTCTATAATTGTAAAACAGTTTACATTGCAAAGACTGTAAAGAATATATCATTAAAACTTGGTATAGAAAATATGTTAGAGTCATAGTCCTTCATTGATTTGTTTCAGCATCTGGAACTTCATGTTAACTATCTTGGTAGCAATATCTGCTACCAAGTCAGAGCTCTATTTGATCGTTAAAATCTATTTGTATTGTAAATAATGTAAAATATAATGTAACATATATTCTTTTATAAATCTAAAAAACGCTATATACAATATATGGATTTTAAATACGGAACTGCAATGTCTAAATGTCCAATTTTGCGGGCTCAACTTTCCAGATTTAATTAAATTTGAAGATGATTTCGAGGTAAATAAGACAGGAGAATGTCCATTAGGAAGGATGTGACAACCGCCCACGTTGGAAGTTCAAACGGAGCGGCGCGTGGCATCATCAGGGTGGGACACCTCCTCACCTTGATCTTCTGTGCCTCGTTGATGCATTGTTGATAATTGCCGATGTAGAAATTATTTCTTACATTGAAGAGATCGTTAAAGTCCTGCTGACGTGCCATTTTGTCACTCATCGTCACCCGTAGTCTTCGGTCTCCGATAGGCTATACAGAACGCTAAAGATCCCGTGCAATTCCGCGACACACACACACACACACCACACACACACCAGGATAACCTTTCAACTTGACACTTGGTAGTACTGGGAATCGTCGCGTTATCAGCGCAACGTGTGGTGCACTGCGACAACGTGTCGTTGAATTCTTAAAACGAGAGTTTGAACACTGTCCGCCATTTTCAGGTCAGAATTCAAGCTGAAAATGGTGAATAGTCTCTAGAGTAGTTCTCAAGAGGAATTTTAAATTATACAGGTTGGCCGCACTGCAGCCCATAAGCTGCAAAAAATCGGGAAAAATGGACGCTGCGAGCGAGCGCATTGCTTTTATCTGAGTCTTCGCTCTCGGCCAGCAAAAATGGGTAATCAACTGGTGGGCATCGCGCCCAGCCAAATATTTCCGGTAGAGCACTATCTAACAGATCACAGTGATTTATTGTTCGATGTAAAGTAAGTATTTGCTCGGATCATACTCTAATTTATCCGTGTGTATATTCTGCCAATCGCGAGCACCGTCGAGAATGCTGTCAAATCATATGTTCAAGTGCTCCTAATGCTTGATGATAAAATCAATCTGTTATTAACACTTCATTGATACTCCGGGTGTATTTGCGGGCGACATTAGCAGGTGTTACATGTATCGTATTTAGTTATCCGCATATGATATTTCCCTTTGAACGATTTTTGCATAGTTTATATTAACCGAAATATTAGGAACTGTAAATCAACTAATTCAATCAAATAATTGATACATATAAATATATAGAAATATTTGTTTTATTTATGTATTTCTAAAAGTCTGGGAAAATTATTTGAAATGGATTAATTATTAAGTGGTATCTGTATAGATTCAATTGTTGATTTGTGGAATTCTTTCTTATGTACAGTTTAGGAAGCACTAGATTCTTTAAAGTAGCTCGAGCCCGTAGTCTGGAGGGCTTGATAGTTGTTAAAGTGTTCGCGATTCATGATCCAACATTGCCATTATCTACGTATAGAGACAAGCTAGAGGAAATCAGGTCAAAACTAGCCTCAGCTGTCAACTGCCTACCATTTCAACGAATGATTGTAAGCATCGTAACATGGGAACACTGTTTAAATATCTTATCGCTTATTTGAGCATGATTAGAATTAATTATATGCTTGGATTAGCTCACAGAAAAAGCAGGCTCAATAATGCGGGAATATGTCAAATATTCTCTTTATGACAGGATCAGCACTAGACCATTTTTAACAAGTATTGAGAAAAAATGGATCACTTTCCAAGTGTTGTACGCCCTTAATCAAGCTCATAAGGTATAACAATGCATGTAAAGCAAAATATTTGAAAAAAAAGATAGCTATTCAAAATAGTATAATATAAACTATTCTTCAAGTTTTTTATCTTGATTTAAAGTTTCTTATCTTGATTGGCTTATCTTATTTCCTATTTGTAACGTTTATTTCCTTTAAATAAAAAAATTTAAATAAAAAAAAGATATATCTCTATTTGATTACTAAAAAGAATACCATTTCTCTCTTTTTTTCTTACAGTTTGGTGTTTGCCATGGTGATATAAAATTAGAGAATATTATGATAACCAGCTGGAACTGGGTATTACTTACGGATTTTGCCAGTTTTAAACCAACATATTTACCTGAGGATAATCCTGCGGATTTTTCGTACTTTTTTGATACCTCCAGGAGAAGGTAATCTTTAAAATCATTTTTCTTTTTTTTTGTAAATAATAAAAATCTATTTAATATATTTCCAGGACATGTTACATAGCGCCCGAACGATTTGTGAAAACGTTGTCTTCAGAATTGAGCAATACATTGTTATTACCAGAACAAGAGGTAAAGACAGGTGATTTGCATCCTATGATGGATATTTTTTCTGCAGGCTGTGCTTTAACTGAATTATATAATGAAGGACATCCACCATTTGATTTTTCACAACTCTTAGGTAAGTAAATTATATTTTTAAGTTTTCTGTAAATTTAAATAGAAATAAAATGTAATTGATCCTATTGCATGAATTAACATGATGTTGATACATTAAGCATACAGGAACAACGAATATTCTGTGAGTAAGCATCTGGATAGTATAGATGATTTGGGAATACGCGAGTTGCTTGGTTCAATGTTGGAAAGAAATCCGGCAAATAGAAAGAGCGCAGACACTTACCTGGCTCAAACTCGCGGCACCATTTTCCCAGAGTACTTTTATTCCTTCCTGCAGTCTTACATGCTCATCTTTTCCGCCGCTCCAATTTTATCACCGGACGAGAAAATAACACGGTTAAAGAAGGACATTGGCAATATTATAAATATACTAAAGGCAGAAGAAAGCGAACGGATGAAAATGAGTGAGACGAAACATGCGGAAACTGCAAAATCTGGTCAGTGTGAAAGTAACGTGGAGTCAATCAAGGACGATTCTGGACACAGTGAAGAGAATACGATGGTGGAAGTCGACAGTGATCAGAGTTCCGATAAGACCGACGTAAATCAAATCGACATGAAGAGTACATCACAAGATGTCGGCAGTGACATTCAGGTGGATGTAGAACCGGAAATTAAATCCGAAGATCACAAAGAAACATGTGAAGAATCTAAAAAATCGATTTCTACCTCTAGTGAAATTTTAGAAGGACTTGTTATCATAACTCAACTCGTTACATCTTGCATAAGAGGATTATATCACTCGCAATCTAAATTGCACAGTTTAGAGATATTATTAGAACTGGCTGAAAATGTTTCTGACGAAACAATTCTTGATAGAATATTACCGTATATCGTAAGTGTTGTTGAACTAATTTCAAAAAATGTCAAAATTTTTTGGACAAATTATATTTTTTATATTATTAAGCATTTTTCTTTGTGTTTTATCAAGTTCCACTTGGTTCACGATCCGGCGCCACGGGTAAGAGTATCGGCGATACACACTTTAACCAAGTGCTTACATCTTGTGAAATCGATACCATCATCGGATGTGAACATATTTCCCGAGTACATTCTACCAGGTTTAGCACACATAACTCAAGATGAGGCGGTTATTGTTAGGGCAGCTTACGCGGAGAATATTGCACACTTGGCGCATATTGCTCTGCGTTATTTGGAAAATGCTCATTTATCTAACTTGGGTAACAAAGAGGGACCAAAGCCTAGTTATGACAGTGAACTGCAAACTTTGCACGAAATGGTACAGATATTTTTTGATAGCACTTTGTAAAAAGAATAAAAGTTGAAATTTCGTTGTTTATAACTAAAACTTTATTATCTTAATAATATATTCTTTATATTTTTTTTCTTTAGGTGCAACAATCAGTATCCATGCTGTTAACGGATTCTCAAAATTTGGTAAAACAAACATTAATGGAAAATGGAATAAACAAACTGTGTGTATTTTTCGGAAAACAGAAAGCCAACGATATTTTGCTCAGTCACGTTATCACATTTTTAAATGACAAAGAAGATAAGGAATTAAGAGGCTCTTTCTTTGAATGTATAGTCGGCGTGGCTGCATATGTCGGTTGGCATAGTAGTCCTATATTAATGCCGCTTCTACAGCAAGGTCTATCCGATCCCGAAGAATTCGTAACCACAAAGGCCATAAATGCTATGGCAACACTTACGGAATTGGGTCTGCTACATAAATCTGCTCTCTATCAATTGTTATCAGAAACTATGGTCTTCTTGGTATGTTATCATCGTGATAATATTTAATGAATCATTACTCATTTTATATATATATATAAGATGTATATAAAGAAAAAAAAGTTACCAATCCTGATTAGGAAATTTATCTCACACAAAAAACTTGTGTTTCTAGGTACACCCAAATCTATGGATACGTCATGCAACTGTCGGCTTTATATCCGCGGCAGCAAGAACTTTGAACGTAGTAGATGTTCAGTGTAAAGTTCAGACGATGCTTCAACCATATCTGAAGCATTCATTGATCCAAATAGAAAAAGAAATTTTGTTACTTGAAGCACTAGTTCCTCCCATATCCAGAATAGTGTACGATTCTGTGGTGAAATATAACAATGTAGAGGAACTATTTCAAATATTTGAACAGAGGCAGGCAGCTAGAGCGAAAGCTGTAACAGGTGTGGTACCACCGCAATATAACGATATGAATACTTCCCTAAGAAACGTAAGTTATGTTGATTAATTAGCTTATCTATCAGTTTATTGCTCCTAAAACAGGTCGTAATTTCTTTTATTCTCCATTGCATATAATTTTTAACTTTTTAATTAATAAATAATACAACAAAAAGATGAATTAAAATCAAACGTTATAATTAGTGCGCAAGATTAACGAATACAATATTACATTATAAGTCATGTAAAAGACAATAAAAATGTCCGGATTTCAACTCATTTCAACTCATTTTTGAGCCATTCTCAGTGGAAATCAAATACAAAGCATAAATACATAAATTCAAGAAATACATAAAGATTCACAAGTAGTTCTTTTTTAGCTTTTTAGACGATTGAGCTCAGAATCGATGACAGAGACAGTTGAGAATCAATTACTAATCATGAAACCTCATTTAATGAAGATCAACAAGTACCGCAATTCTGCAGACTCGAAGCAAAATGTTATCAAATCCGTGGATGGTAAATTGGAGCTAAGTCCAGTGAAAGATAGGATAAGACATCATGTCGTTGTACTATATCCGGATACCAAAGGTGATTTAGCTCTTCCGCCCTTTAAGAGATTGGATCGAAGAACATCGGAATCCGTAGGCACGTATGCAACGATGAATCAAGAATGGCGTACAATGTTTGCAGCTCAAGATAACGCTCAGGTATCAAATCAGATATTGATTCTTGTTCTCTCTCTCTCTCTCTTCTTCTCTCTCTCTCTCTCTCTCTCTCTCTCTCTCTCTCTTTCTCTTATTTTGTTACTTATGTTACTTCTCTTATTTATGTTATTTACAAAAATTATTTTTATACTTTTGCGACAGCACGCTGTTGTTAAAATGTCAGACATGACTGGAAGCAGTGGCAGCCCTAGTCAAAGCATACACAGCGGAGATATTCATTTATCTCCACATCATTGCCTATCAGATATGACCAGCATTAATTCTCTCATGAACGATCATTCGCTTCACGAGCGTTCTTATATACAATGTAAGTGAAATTAATGCAAATATTAAAACAATAAAAAGTAATTAGAAAAATATTAAATAATCGTGACGATTTTGTAGATAGGTGTGCGCCCTGCCGATTAGAAGTACGGCAATTAACGTATCGAAAACAAGAGCAACACGCAGCGGTGTTAAGGGCAAAACGTTGGGTCAATAACGTCACCTGCGAAGCTGGTAATTAAAATTATATTGAATTTTTCTACAAATTACAAATTACATCATGCTATATTGTATGACTAAAGTATGTTTTTTCATTCATTATTGATGTTGATTAAAAGGCTCCACATCACTGCCAAAGGATTGGAGACCCCGAGGAATTCCCGTCGCGCATCTTCATGAGCACAGAGCCGCAGTGAATAGACTGGTTTCGATACCGGATACCAACTTATTTGCAAGTAGTTCATCTGACGGATGCATTAAAATCTGGGACGCCAGCAAGATGGAGGGACGAAATATCGCTAATCGTTCTAGGTATTGGTTCTTCTTTCAAAACAATTGAAGATTTTTTAATTAATAAATTATACATTTTTAGCTTAGGATTAACGCAGTCATTATTTCTTAATATGCTTTACAGGCAAACGTATATGCATAGGGGAGGTCCGCTGGTTGGTTTAACCATGTGCGACCAGGGGCAATCTTTGGCGAGCTCCGCGAGCACATCTGGAACGGTATTCGTACTTCGCATTGAGTCCAATTCCAGTAAAATGAGTTTGATTGGTACTCGTCAACTGGATCTCCAGGTGATTAGAAGGTCCTGTAATAATTTAAATACTCGATGCACAGGAGAAGTAAAGAGACATTGCACGCGATTGATTTAATAGGAAGAAGGATGTGCTGTCGATCTTCAGTATCTAGATTCCGGCTCGCAATCGGTTCTTGTATACGCCTCGTTATACGGATCGCTGGTAGGATGGGATTTACGATGTCCCGGTACAACGTGGCGCTTGGAAAACGATTTGAAGCACGGAGTCATTACATCATTTTGCGTAAATAGTCATCAGCAATGGCTGACTCTCGGCACAAGCTCGGGTATTCATACCTGTTGGGACTTGAGGTTTCAATTGCCGATAACTAGCATTAAACATCCGACAGGTAGATTATCTCGCCGATTTCATTATTTTTTATTGCTTTCGATATAGTTTTAAAATCTAATTATCGTTTTCTTCAGGCGCCAGAGTACGAAAGGTAATTACGCATCCGACGGAACATTCATGGATAATCTCTGCGGTGCAAGGTAATAATGAGATCTCTATGTGGAATCTGGAGACCAATCACCGACAGATGGTTTTATGGGCATCGAGCCGCCCCGCCATTGAGCCGTACTCAGACCGGTCATACTGTATGTGCCATGTATGCCGGATGTATCGATTGCTCGGGCTTTCTTCTGGCCGGTGGCACCGATATGCGATTACGTTTCTGGGATTTTAATAGACCTACTGCATCCTACGTTGCTTTGCCCGCTGCTAATGACATCCTCACACCAAATTCATTAGCATACGAGTCAGTAATCGATTATATAAAATTAATTATTTTACTATGTGCATGTATATTATATATTCCATGTACGATATCGTTTTCTGTGTTTACAGTTTACGTTTGATAGACGGAACGAACGTTGTGCAAGAAGTATTGGTGGACGACGAGTCTAATCCATTATCTGGAAGCGATGCAAGAGGAAGAAACATAGAGGAGAGCGGTCCTGAGACTCCACCCTCCGGCCAACATGACACAATCTCTGCTGTGTCCATGTCGAATATGTGTATTCTCACCGGCAGTACGGATGGTCTGATACAAGTCTGGAAATGATTATTCTTGCTTCCGAATTCAATTCCAAAGTTCCTCGCTGGACGATAACAGATTTTGCCAGTGCAAAGTGGAATTTTTCTCCTGTAATAATGAAATCATTGTGATCCAAGTAAGAAATAAGTTATTTTAGAATTGTCCAGGCAAATTATCCAGCAATGCCGGACAATGATCATAGTATAATTTATTTAAGAATAGTCACGAGAAGGAAATATGATAAAGCGGTATAAATATAATACCAATATCTCATTCGGCAAAAATTACTAATCATATTTTTTTATACCGCGATTTATCAATGGCAAGTCTCATTGGGAATTATAATAATATCTCATTGTGCAAAAAAAGTAGATTTTACAAATTAAATCTATTCTCAGATTTATTCACATTTATATAATTTTAAATAAAATTGGAAATTTTTGTCATTTTACAAATTGTAAATATACATATTCACGCTGATCACTATTGTGAACTAAATATTTGTTATATAATTTGTGGGGTATTGCAATTCAAATTATATTTATTATTCAATTTGCTTGGACAATGTGGTTAATGACTTACCGCTTTTTAAATTACAAACATCAACGTATACATAACGTACACACAAAGCCGTGTCGTACTAACTCTGTGATCCTGGACTGTACATAGACCATGTAATATACATGATATTTAATATTACCAATGATTACGATTGCGCTGTAAAAGCGTGCATTTTTTTTAAAATTGAACGTAAACTTATAATGTAATATACATGATGTATATAATTTATTTTTATACGTAAGAAAAGAAAAAGAAAGAGTATTATTGATGTATTAGGCAGATATAACGGGCTTAGAATGTTGATACTACATAGATCAACAGATAAACCTTTGAAGTAACTATATTTAAGTTAGCGAATATTTAGCGAATCCATATACGCACAATAAATTTAATGCTGAAAGGTGAGAAAAATCGCACTGATGTCAAGTAACTTTGCACCATGATGGAACATTCTTAAGACTTACAGGATGTCCGAAAAAGTAATCTGTTATATTTTTTTTTACCTATTAATTTTTTTTTCTACTCTGATACGAAATTGCTTTCAGTGCGCTAAGTTTTGTAGCATGTTTTCTGTTCTTGTTTTCGACTGTGTAAATTTAACGCAAGTGTAAACGGATCGAGAAACGAGGCGAAATGGAATTCGTGTACAAAAGCTGCAAACGATTATTCCCTCGCTTCGTACTTTACATGATGAATGCGTACAGTAAGTAGCTACGTGTAATCACGAATATTTATGTACTAGTTTGCTAGTATCGTCACACACACGGACATGTACATACGTACACGCAATCATAATGACTGAAATACTCGTAACCGGTGAACGTATACTGTCTGAAGCTACGTTGTTACAATAAATTCATATTTTTAACGCACACTATGATTTTCGCTTGCATTTGGCACGACAAATCGCGAGTCCGATTTGAAAGTTCCCTTTACCAGGGACAGACAGGTGCGGCAGGATAAGGCACGCGTCCTGGGAATGCGTACGAGTCCGGATTTATAGTCCTGCAGATTTGCTTCCAACGCTCTTTCCCACCTCTACCTTGACGATACGGTCTGTTTGTATAATATCCAGTATTGCGAACATCATACGAGGATTGCTGAGGAAACCATAGATCGAGCCAAGGTATACAAAAAGCGGAGCTGACTAACAGTAACAGCAGGAAGATTAACTTCATCTTAATTGCATTTCCTGCAAACGTCGGACGTAATCTTGTAACAGTCTTTTTGCAATAATCTGGAAAAAAACAGATTATTTTTTATTTTGGATTTTATGAATGAGTTCTTTAAGTTCTTAGTGTTAAAATTTAATTGTTTAGCTTACATTACTTTACATTTAAATTTCTGAACTAAATTAAAAAAAATGAAATAAGATCAGTACATTTTTTGTGTGGAGAAATATCTATTTTAATTTAAAATAAATTTTTATGTAAAGAATTTTGTTGAAATCATTCAAGAAAAACAAGACTTTTTTTCATTCATATTTAATCTCTTGAAATTTGCTTGATTTTCTTGAATTATCTATATTGCAATAGAAATGATTATTATGTAATTGAAGTAGCGTAAGATTATTATTTCACTTACATCAATCACTTTGCTTTGATCTCTCTGGTATCTGTAATATCTGTACAAGCTATCTATAATAACATCACACAAGTGGAAGTCCTGCGAATAAAGAACGAAAGTTAATAAGTGATTGCAGTCCGATTGCATTTATTTAACGCTCGCCAATTGCCACTTCGGTCGCAGTGTCGCAGTGCTCATAGCAATATACTAAAGTAAGCAAAATAGGGACAACGCGTTCACGCACCAAAAAACCATATAATGAAAACATTGTTGCGTCACGGACTTGACGTTTTCTTATTGCGACTTTCACACTTTCTGAATTGCGATTAACAACGATGCGACGTCTTTTCTGGGTACTCTACCGTTTCACTAACTGGATTATAATATACATCTATCCATACGATATGAGAAAATGAAATGCTTAAAACCACGTATGGGACTGCAAAATAGTGGCTGTATACAAGAGCGTGGATACGATAATCAGCTTCTGCTTATTCACAAAGATCTGTAACAAGTACACTACCGCAATGGAGAGATGCTGGATTCTTCCCGCTGTTTTATATGCCGGTCTACCGCCCTACCGCTCAGAAAAATGCGCGGTTAATAGTGAATCTGCATTGTCTCTGGCTGAAGAAGAATCTCAGGATACCGAATACACACATATTTGATTAGCTTTAGTAAGAATAATAGTCCTTCATATTATATAAAAAAAATAGTGTGATCATACAAATTAAAGGGAGGAATGACTTTGAATGATAAACATATACCAGAAAAATCGACATTTAATTTTGTTAACTAATAATAATTGAATCATTAATTGAATAGTTCAATGTGTATTTAATTCTATTGAATTACAAATAGATTCGATCTTCAATTTCTTCAATTATAGATTTTCTATCTACAAGTTCCTTCCTTTAATGTTCTAAAATCATTTGAGAAATATTGAGCATTTTAAATTTCTATTATCCAGATATACGGTCTAGTTTATAACATTTTGCGTTCTAAAGTTTTCGATTTACATTTTCGTGATGGAAGCTTCGGAATTTAGACGAATGGAATGGAATTAAGATCTTCATGATTCTTCTATCAGATTCTGATCAAGCTACCGAAGAGATTTCGTATTCCAACGAGTTCCATCTTCTCACGATTATTTCCTTGATTTGGGATTCCGCACGTGCTGACGAAATGACGCACACGCTTACGCGCTTTTGAACTTGGGGAAGGCCCTTTCCCCGTTGTCTTCGCTCGTTTGCATTGATTTATATGCAACGTTCGTAGCTCTCGTTCGCTCCCTCGCTCGCGTATTCCGCGCACGCAGAAATATCGTTCGCCAGGAATACAGGGAGATATATAAGATAATGATATCATCGTAATACTATCATTGCTCATTTATCTGGCATCTGGTCGTCGCATCTTATGATAATGAAATTTTCACGTGACTCCTGGATGCAAAGGAAGAAGAAAAAAAAAAAAAAAAAGAGAGAAGAACCTGTGTACGCCAATAACGATCGCTCTCAGAAGACGCAGGGGCGGATAACTGTGCGATCATGATTGCGATTAGATCGCGGATGGTTTCCGCCGGATTAGCATTCGATGTTTAATTCATGATCGTGCTTTCGGCCGCGGCTTGTAGGGTAGCAGGAGGCGATATCCGTGAAATCCGGTGTTCCCTCTACATGAAATAATAATCTTGCATACGTAACGCGTTGCCGGCCACGTGCTTGCGTGCCGTTGCGTGCATCCGATCATAAAGCGCACCGCGGGTGAATTTCGCGTCTCGCGTTTTCAGGATTGCGAAAAGGGATCGCGTGACCTGCATTATAATACGCGGTCTGCGCAGACCGGATCGTGTATATATGTACTTCATCCTCGCGTCCAGTTCTTCCGACGGCTGACGCCGAACTTCATTGGAAGTTGCTCTACATCCAAATATCGTGTCAAGGACGCTGCTTGCGCCGATACCGAAAACTGTAACGGATTATCTTATCGACAAACTTGACATACTTTCCGCATCGTGAAATGGATCACACGGCCAAAAGCAAATTGCCTCTCGATCCCTTGAATTTTTCTCCGAAAATTGATATTCTTTTAAAATATTTCCCCAGATAAAAAAATCAAATTAAATATTTCTCTAGATTACACCTTTTAGCGAAATCTCGTTAACGAAATCTGCACGAAATATTCTTCCGTATTATTTTATTATCTAAACTGCGTATTTAATTGCTTGACGACGTAAATATTCAAATATAGAGAAGATTTTTAATTAAATTCGCAAGAATAGAACAATATGAAGAGAGAAATAATAGTTATAACTATTATTATATTAATATATATTATATTATATATAATTGTTTCAATGGTGCGATGTAAGTCATGTAAATCCATTGTTTTTCCTCCCAGCTTTTAATCCTGCTCAGAGGAAAAGATAAGTTGCGCAATTAGCGTCAATCCACGTTGATGCAAATTAGCTCTTACAGAGGATACAGCTTTTTTCCGTTTGTCGTTTTATGCGAAGTCTTTCTCAACCTCATTCACATCGCACGCAATCTCTCTTACAGGAAACCGACTATAAGATACTGTAATCAATCTTTAATCAATCTTTAATCGCATAAACCGGATTGTACGCCACATAAAAAGAAACTGGATTACACATAAACAAATAACTCGAGTTGCCTTGAGAAATTTCATTGAGGGTTGACGAGCTTATTTATCGAGTACTATTCGGCCGACGACAAGGCCGGTCACTTCTCGCAACTTCATACGATCGTCTCCACGCTTGACGGAATTATGAATTCTTCTACGAAAGGGTGACCTCTCGAAATATCGTTGAGCATTATTGACGGATCATTGAGTAACGGGCTCGATTTGCTCTGCCGATTTCCTATTACCGTAACAGTCAGTTTCCAATCCACCCGACTATTAATAGCGTTTGGCAGAGAAAGTCTGCCTACATAGTTTTTAGACATAAAGAAGCTCGCGATAAACGAGCGATTCTTTTATCAACTTATTTTCCAAAATTTCACCGCAATGGAATTATGAAAAAATTTGTAACATGTAATTTAAAAATACCTTTAGATAAATTCAATGCCATGTATAATGTATGGGGGAAGTGCGTAATGGTAAATCTATTTAAGAAACTCGCTTTCATCTATTGACTCACAAACAAAGTTTGTGGGTGGAGGAAGCCTTGAGAAGAGATGCATCGAATCGTTTTCCGTGCGAAAGCTTCGGTGTCTCGCCCCCATATTTACTTCCGCGAATTTTTGGCAAGAAATACCAGAAATGCTTTCTCGAAGAAGCATTTACGGCTTCTACCTCCTCTCTCCTCTTTTCTTCTTTACTGAGAATTTATCCGCCAGATCTGACAACGGATCGGATCAAGTTAGCTTTGCTCTTGCCAATTGACGCAATGATAAGACGAGACTGACATTCGATCGCGAAATTCAAGGATCCAAATATAAAATAAATGACTCGCTTAATAGCTTGAGTCGCTAATAATCATACGCAGTTATTGCTAACAAAATTACATTACGAAGAAATCATTATTCATCCATATTCATTGTTGTGATCTAGGAATAAAGGTTTATTGAAGGCAACCTGGTTGGATGAGACCGATCCGATGCGCTTAAAAACATCCATGAACTTGCACCCGTACATCGTTTTCTCGTTGGGATTTGCAGACATGCCGCGTAAATCGTCTAAATATTTTGGCTACTGCAGACTTCATCAAAACTGCTTCATGCAGTCGGCTGCACCACGTGCGTCAGTTTCGCTCTGTTCGACGCTTGCTGAAAAGCTTTGAACACTGTCAATCTCGTTAGGTGTTATCCCACGTGCCTGTCCGAGTTCCTTTCGAATGTCAAATCACGGCAATGACGATTGCGAGTCCCTGCGCCGGTCCAGCCTTTCCGCAAAGATGCAACGTAGCCTGAGAAAGATGAGAAAAAGCATCCAAAAGATTACTGGTAACAATATCCGATTTGCCATTTCTAAAATAAATAATTTGAAGTCTTCTGATAACATTGGTCTTCTGATACATTTGGCATCGAAACTGTAAAAATAAAAAAAATTAACTGAATTGTGTAACATTAATTTAATTTTATTACAATTACAATTAGTTTCATAGGGCTGTAAAGAATTTGACAATTTTATGATTAAAAATTTGATATTTGAGATTTCGATCAAATAATTACTTTTTTGTCGCATTGGAAACGTTTTAATAAATTTACAGATATTTACTATGTAACTTGATCGTTTTCGTAGAGAGCATCCACGAGGACGATAAACATTCGTTATATATTTCCCCCGAGCAACTGTCCACGTTGACCTGGCGAACTGGCTTCTCCAAAGACGAAATTCGCAAGCTATATCGCGCTTTCAAGCAGCTGTGCCCGAGAGGATGTGCGACATCCGGTGACTTGAAGCCTGCGTATGCCAAATTATTCCCGCTTGGCGATCCGGCCAGATACGCGCAAATTTTGTTCAACAGCTTCGACAGAGATGGTGATGGTATCGTTAGTTTCAGCGATCTTCTTGAAGCCATGACAACGATCATCAACGGCAATATGGATCAGAAGCTTTCCTGGATATTCGGGTGAGAGTTTATCTCTCGTTCTCTGTATTTTTATTAATAAACTTTGAATTCTCTAGATAAAGATGGATAATTGTAGACCTGTAGATTTTTTGTAAATAAAATTTGACGCGAAGGATTTAATTATGTAGTCATTCAAGTGATAAGGGATATCATTTATGTGATTAGGAGATATCATTTATTCACGCATTCTTTTGGATTAGAAGAATTGATTCCTTCAGTTAAATTGATAATCTCCGAACCAAAGCGATAAATGCCAACTCGTGAAATGCTCTCTTCGGATTTATTGCTTGCTAGGTTCTACGATTTGAATGGGGATGGTTGTATCACGAGACAAGAGATGCTGATCACAGTATCTGCGATTTACGAAATGGTACAAGACGCACAGGCCATCCAATCCGTAGTTAACAGACAAGTAGACAGGTTCTTTGAGAAGATGGATGCGAATAAAGATGGTGTGGTTTCCAAGGAAGAATTTATGAGCGGTTGTAAAAATGTATGGAAATATCCGTCTTATCATAATTCATATTTAAGAAGGACTCTGTTTAGCAATGAAATTTTTTATCGACTATATTCTAACTTCTCAATATAAGACACTAAATTCACATTATCAAAAATTTGTAAAAAAATATTATTTGTTTTGCTATTACTCCTTTTAATAATATTAAAATATTATTAAAATTCATATAATGCAATAAAATATATTTTAACAACGGTGAATGTAAAATGTATGTATGCAGAGATATCTTATAATTCTATTTTTTTACAGGACGCTATTATATACAACCAGTTGCTCTTATTTAACAAGATCTGATGATGGAAAATAATAAATCTTAAAAAATTAATGAATAATTTATATATAAAGTTATTAAAACATTTATAAAAGTTCATCCCATGTCCACCTCTCTCTCATTCTTGAAAATGGTACATATATCACATTATCCTCCTTCCACCTTCCCTATATATGATACAAGAATGTCTGAACAATTTGATATCATGTTAAACACTCGATACATGCTCAAAACAATCTCTTTTGTAGAATGTAAAATACACAAGCGAGGAAAAAGGCAAACGCCAATACAAACAATGCTTTGTCAGTAACTTCTCGTCTACCATATTTTCCTAATAGCTTCCCCGATTGCATTATTGCTTGTTGCTGATGCTCTAATTCATCCTTGGTGTTGCCAACCTTATCCGAAGATGTCACTGAAACAAAAATGGTCTGTAGAATCCTGATATTTGTCGAATAACGAAATAAAATACATACACAGTGTATCCAGTGTGTCGGCGCTTCTTTGAGCTGTTTCAGCCAGGTGCCTAGAGATGCTCAATAATTTATCCGTTACTTGGCTAGACGCGTTTGACAGACTCTGTTTGTCATGTCGTCTACGGAGAGCGTTTTGCCGGTCCTCTGGCATCGAGAATAGGTTTTCTCTTGCCAGTTTGTCGATAACACATGCGCTGACAACGTTGGCCTTGCGGAAGGCTGCCAGGGAAGTATTCAGCTGCTCTTTATAATTATCTACCGTAGATAGAAGCTCGGCTTTCTTCTTCTCATCCACCTCAGTTTCAGCAACGGACGCCAAATGTTCTATGGAGATTTTCAAGACGGCTATCTTAGCTCTACCCTCCGCATTGAGCTCATCCAGTATCTCCAACGGTCCGCTGCATTGCTGTATATCCTTCGCAATGAAGAGATAACTTGTTAAATACGAATTATTGATTCGACTTATTGTAATATAATTTGCAATATGTTTTTCACTATTATTATCTAATCGTTCTGCTATTTCTATATTAAAATGAAATACTGAAATTAGGTTATATTATGTCCATCGTGATAATATGTATTTACCTGTATTAAAGCATTTACTTGAAGCTGATATTTAACGATATCTTGACGTATTAATTCCACCGCGTAACCGTCGGGATCCATTGAATTATTTTATTCGTACGTTAGCTTTATGTGTATAGCGTACATATGTAAGCAAAATACTCTCCGATCAGCTGATGTGGAACTAGATGCCGAACTGTCAACGGACACGACGTACGCGTTCGTCTAATTTCACAAATTTCTATTACGAGTTTCATTCCATACGACTGACATATCTTTATTATACGAATATTTATTTCAAATATTAGAAAATAAAAACTGAGGCGAAATAATTTAGGAAAGTTAGAGAGGAAATTAAAAATCTTATATTTTTACTCGATAAAAAATTTTTTATATAAAAACATACAAAATATATATAAATATATATGTATATAAATATACATATGTGTTCATATTAATTTCAATCTTTATAAAATTTCTGTTTGGTTTAAGAAAAAAAATAATAAAATAATAAAAAACATAAAAAATAAAAATAAAAAACATTATAATGCCAATTTATCGCAGCTTTTAATGAACTCGTTCAATTTTTCTTAAAAATTAAATATACATCTATTGTTATGGATATTTGAAATATGTATCAGTGTTGTTGTTTCTGGTTGCATGAAATGAACTTGTGGCATCTTCCTAGGATGTAAGATAAGCGTAATTTATTTATATATAGATATTATACAATTTTTTATTTATTATATAACTAATTACGCATATCGCAGTTGAATTTCTGCAGCTGCAGAGAACTTTGGACTTCTTTCTGTTCGCAGAACAGAGGGTTCTACTGTTGCAAATAGAAATTTGCATAGTTACGGATCTTTCTAGGATTATTTTTACCTTTACAAATCTTATGACTTATGTGAGTTACAGATACTTTATAACGGATGCGGCACTACGATTCGTACAATCATTCCAGATTTCCAGAAATCTCAAGAAAAATGAGTTTGCGACGCTGGATCTATATCTCCTATGTTCTCCTATGTTGTCTTATCGTTAGCGCAGACTATTTATTACAGCAGCGGTGAAATCCGTCGTCGAGCTTTGCCCACCTAGATCCTTCGTGAGCACCTTTCCGTCATTTAGCACACGATTCAACGCCTCCCGGATCTGCTCGCCATAACGCTTGAGATTTGCATGATTCAGAAGCTTCACCGCACATAACAACATCGCCGTTGGATTCGCGACGTTTTTACCGACCGCCTCGGAATACGTGTGCCTCGCACCCTATTAAAAAATACTGATCTTATATCCATTTTTATCTGTCTACCAATTAATGTCTACCAATTTTCATTTACTTTTTATTTTCTTCTAATTCTTAGAAGTGAAAAAGTAATTTAAAACCAATAATTTTAAAATTAATTTACATTTGTAGAAATAAATATTAGTACATTAAATTTTAAAATTGAAATCAAGTTTATTTTCAAGCGAGCCATCCTCTTTTCGATACTAGCTGCATATCAAATGCAATTCTTATGTTAATATAAATAAAAATCAGATATGTTACCGGTTCGAAGACGACGCATTCAGCGCTGTAACTGGCACCTGCGACAACTCCAGCACCGCCGACCAAACCAGATGCGAGATTATCTACGATATTTCCGTATAAATTCGGCATTACCATGACGTCGAACTGATGTGGATTAGAGACCATTTGCATAGTACAATTATCGACGATCATCGTCTCGAACGTAATCCTGTTTCATTGAAAGTAAAAGTATAAAATATATTTTGCAACAATTCCATGATAAATCTTTTCAAGAAACGATGAGTAAGTGACAAAAAAAGTTAGTACCTAGGATACATTTTTGCAATTTCTTGACACGATTTGAGGAAGAGTCCATCGCCGAGCTTCATTATATTAGCTTTGTGAACGCATGTGACTTTCTTACGATTATTCTTTACGGCATAATCAAAGGCGAACTTTGCGATTCTTTGGCTTTTTGCAGCAGTCACGATCTTTAGGCACTCGACCACCCCTTTGACGGATTCGTGTTCCAACGCAGAATACTCCCCCTCTGTTTGTTCTCTTATGATAACGCAGTCGACGTTTTGGTGACGCGATTTGACACCTGGCAGAGATTTTACATGCACCACGTTCGAATATAAATCCAAGCTCTTACGTAATTTCATGTTCAATGTCTGCAATTCTCCTGTCATAGAGTGATCCGGAGTTGCTAGGATACCCTGTAATCCAAAGTAATAATATATATAAATAACTATATAATATAATTAAATAATATATAAATAATTATATTGAATTATAAGAGTATTGTTGCATCTCAGCTATATCCGTGTTATTTAAGAAATCTTTAGTTTTCTTTCTCTAATGGAAAATTTTTTATATTTCAAATGTCTTGTTAAATCATGTTCGTATGTGAAGTAAAACTATAAAAATACATTATATTCAGACCTTTAAACAAACTCGGTTTCTAGCGATGCTGTTAGAGACTTGATCCAGAGGGGCGCTCAAAGTTGGATTTACTTCAGACAAGAAGTAAGGCTCAAATTCAACCGGGACATCCGCAGCTTTGAAGACATTTTGGACTGCAACCACGAGTTCTGGTCCAACGCCGTCTCCCGGTATCAAGGTACATTTTAACTTTCCTTCTTGTTCAACTGTCTAAAAATAGTAGTATATTATATATCCATTTAATTATCAATCGAAGAATAAGAATGCTTACTGATTCCTGTTGCCGTACTGTCCCTACATGTAAAGCTCTAACTGTACTCTTTTGAGTAGCCTGCGAACATAAAGCAGGGATTACTATTTATACAAGCATAATAAAGTTTACTATGAACTATGAATATAATTTACTATGAACACACAACACACGTATAATATAACTAATTATATAAAAATATATGAATATATTTAGTTATATAAAAAAATTCAAATCACACATTCTCTGTTTCACATATGATCTGATCTGATCTGATATATGATCTTTTTTTCTAGGAATGCTCCAAATTTGGGATCTCCAGACAGAATTAATTCTTTTAATTAATTGGAATTAATCAGCACTAGAGCATCCTGCTCCATTTTCGTTTGCCACACTTTCTTCAATAATCAGCACTTCTTGCATAACAGCCAATTTATTGCTTTTTGTAACGAATAATAAGACTAAATCCTGATTAAATAATGCGATGAGCGAGTTCACGAATGTTGCACGTTCTCGATAGCGAGTGTTCGCATTAATTCGCGGATCTGGACCACTTCGGAGGATGCAATTCGCGATGCACTGAAACATAAGCTCGTGTCATTTCTGTCATGCGGATGCATCTCGGATAAAAATATCACGGTGTAAAGACACTGAACGTGCGATACCCTTGCAACCGACCTCATTGTGCTGCACTGAGAAAGCGTTGGTATTATTCGTTGATATAGTCATCATTCTAAATCTCATACTCTTTCCTCGCATTTCGCAGATACACACAGAATTCCGAACGTATGGGGAAATATCAGCGATTTTACCTGGGAGAGAGTCTTGCAGATGCTCCTCACGAACAAAGCCATCTTTCACGACGGAGCGCCGACTGTCCGTCCCCCTTGCACTCGCAAATGCAGGGATGTAATCGTGCTTGTGATATCGTTTCGTCGTGTCAATTTCCTCGAATTTGCTTTGGGATAAATTTGCTCCGTGTTGCACTGTGGAAAAAAATGATGCTAATTAAAGCAATATTTTCAATTCAATAGTGATAAAATCACTATTCTCAGTGATTTTATTTTCTAATCACTATTTCTCGGTGTAAAAAATTTTCCATATGTAATTATATAATGATAAATATCCATATGTAATGAATATAAAATTTGTTTATACATAAAAATATGTAATTACATACGATTATAATTATAATTATATATTACATATATTTATATATAATCATATATAACTGTACTCATTACTTCATATAT